TTGCCACCTTGTGGCTGGCTGCAGTAAAGGTCATAAACCTTGTCTCTTTCATGTTAACTAAAGTTAGACGCCTGCATGCTAAATGTTTTTAAAGATGGTTTCTGTGCTTTTAGTTTGTTCTTATGACACTGATGTATCTTCAATTTATTTTCCAGGATTATTTCTCCATGAAGTTTGTTTTTAATTAGGTATTTGATGCTATAAAAATGGGATGTAAAGTAAATTTGACATCTGGCCCCTAGATACTGCAGCTCCATCTTTGTGTTGGATGGACATAATAATAAACACCTGACAGTGTTTCAAAGTTCAATCAACACCTTTATACTTGTTTTGGTTTAGATTCAGGTTTGGTAATTTTGGTTAAATGGAATTTTGTCAAATTGTAGTTGTTGTTTAAAGGAAGGGAAGTCATGCATGTGAAATTAAGAAGGTATGTTTTTTTCCCTGAATAACTGCAAATCTTTTCAGTACATTTTCTATTTCCACTTATTCCAGAATACCATAAAGGTGATATCCTCTGTACTAAATTACCATACAGTGTGTGGCTGTTTCTTTTACTGCAATTTAACTTCTGATGTTGATGATATTTGACTTCAGCAGTGATTTGTAGACAGCAGTAATCTGTGAGTAACTCATTTCTGACTTTCAGCGAAAAGCAGAAAATGCAAAACAATAGGAAGCAGTTGAGACTGGAGAGTGAGGCCCGATGTGGAGTGGGAGCTAAAGTGGGTTCTGTGGACAAAAACTAGACCCCTCATAAAAGCAAGAGCAGGGTAGTAGTAGGTGGTAAAAGTGACACCCACTGTCTATTCATTGTGTGCAATATGGACCCTGGCTGCTTTAGAAATATTATGCAAAGTTCATTTACAGAGGGTGGAGGGGAGATAAAGCTATAGATCTCAATTTCACACCGAAGAAATGAAAGAAGGACTTCAAGCAGAGAAATGCTGTTTTGGTTTGCTCGTGGCTGACGAGGAGAAAAAGATGGTGAGCTTAGCAGTTTGTTTTCAAACGGCCGTATAGGATCCTCAACATTGTTGCAACAACAGCTCATCATTAACACTCACTTGATACAAAAGAAGCACTGAAATGCTTCTCTTGGCAACATGCACTTACATCCAGGGGCTTTTTAATGAGTGAGCTGTCAGCTGATCAAAAGCGTTGCCACCAGGCAATCGCACACACAGTCTTGAAGATAACAGATTTTAGCTTCTGTGTTTGAATCTCTCCCCTGACAAACTGTCCGTTGGTTTTGACTAAATTGAACGTGCTTGCATCAGTGCGTGGAATATGTACAAGTTGTGATAACAGTCACAGGGCATAGAATTGTTACAATGACTACACGCTTTTATTCTGGGATGACTGATATGATAATCACAGGAGTGTTTCACCCTTAATTGCCACAATGAGATTTGCTCTGTGACAAGCTTCGCATCATGTTAAATAATGTATGTCTTCAATTTGGGCTCCAGAGTCATTTTAAATAGCTTTTATTACATGGCTGATTGTCCATGATGTATCCTCTGGTTTTGATTTAGATCATTTTGCAATAAGAATGAAACTTTTTTTGTTTTATCACACTGTCCAATAGGCTTCCACAGAGCTTTCAGCCTTTCAATTCTACTTAACTCCCTTTTGATAAAAGAAAAAGTCGTCAATCTGGAAGTCACCTCAGAGCTCTAATGCGGTCAGTGTTGTGGATGACATGCAAGCCGGTCTTTGCAGATTGGCTGCCTTTATTTTTAGCACTGGCTCTGAGGTAGCGAGTGGCTGTGAGGCACAAACTGGTTGCAGACTTGACTGAGACTCAAATTGTCATTTCGAAAGTGACAAGGTGCTGATTTGCCCGCCTGGCACTGAGCGATTGGACATCACTGTTGACAAATGGGCAGTGGAACAAAACTGTCAGGATGCTGGGGAAGACAAAATGCCTTCAGCCAGAGTTTTTTTCTCTATCTGTTATCACAGCTGGACAACAGCTAGTTAAAATTCCAGAATTCACTGATAATGTAATCATTTCGTTGGCAGCCGCTTCTGTGTCAAGGACACCACAAGCAAATATTTATCTATTGTATTGTATCGGATTTTCAGCCTACGGTCATTGTCAGTTGTTTTTATGATGTGTGTAAAAAATGGGGATTTTCTTTTATAGTTCAAAGTCTACAGTGTCCACCAATGACCAACCAACACTTACTTTGTTTAATGTGTGTTCATTTGCAGGTATATATTTTGTTTTTCTAACAATTAGATCAAGAATGTATTTAAGTGTAAATAATCTAATAGACTTTTCAATGGTAATGTTTGGGTTAGAGATGCTCAATTCTGCCAAAACACGACTAAAACCTGACCCTAAAAATTATTCACAGTGACACACACAGTTGTGTTTTAGCAAAGGGCAAATGGGAGCAGATAAAAACAAGTACTCCTATTAGAATATAATCATATATACTTATCAAACAGAGGGAATAAGAAATAGAGCCCTAATAATATTAATTATAATGATAACCTCAATTACATATTTACATAGTTGACATGGGATTCAAACACAGAAATGTATAAATCATATTAAATACTAAAGAAATAAAATGCATGTGTTGTTAATAAAATGTTGTACTGTATGATTTATACAAAATAAAAGATCTGATTTTATGAGGCCTGTTAGTGTCAGGATCTTTTCATTCACTTTTGAATTTTCTTGTATTGAAATAAATGGATTGTAAATGTTTTTAGCTGTTGCACTTTTTGGAGCTGTATGCTCAAAGTATGCTTAGTTTTTTGTATTCCAGTACTTTTTGTATTGGAGTTCTATTTTACTTGTTTGTTTAGACTTTTGTCTCCTGTTATTTCCTGTTTTACTTTGAAGTTACGATCCTTGTGTGTGTCTTACTTCATTTACTTCCTGTCTTTTTCCTGCTTCCTGCCCCTGTAAATGTCTGCTCTGCCCACATGTGCTTCACCTGTGTTCAATTCTTCCAACGTCCCGTGTGTATTCAGCCTCAGTTCTCTCAGTCAGTGCATCTGTTCGGCTCAGTTTTCATTCCCTGGAGTTTCCCAAAGTTTCTGTTTGGTTCACGTTTTGCTTTAAGTTTGGATTTCTTTGTGCCTACAACTCTGCAATCTAAGAGTAAGCCTGTCTTTATTATATTTATTTTATTAAACCCACAGTTACCTTTTTGAGGTAAATGAAGGCCCTGGCCTCTGTTTGAAGAATTGAAAACCCAGCTATCACTCTCATAAATATGTGACATTCACTAAGGTTGACTCAGACTTGAAGCTCAGCAGACATGGCTTTGACCGACTGTAGTTTCTATTACATCACCCTGTTCAGAGCTAATGCATTATTCAATCTGAGCCTCGCTCCAGTAAGAGAATAAAACTAGAACACGCATCCACACAGATTCACTAAAGGGCTGATTAGATAGTATTTCCTTCCCTGAATTTTTAAATTCTGTGCAGCCAATGGGACTAGGTGTCCTTCCCAGGAAACCCTCATTGGATGTAGTTTTGAAGACTCTTGTCTGCTCTTGCAGCGGCAACATCTCCCTGCCTGTCTCTGTTCTTGCGAGAAAAAGCAATCTTATGGAAAAGGAAAAAGGGCAAAACTAGTTGAATTTCCGCTTCGTCTGAGTCAAAACAGGTCCCAGCTATCGCTTTAGATAAGACCGCACTCACAATCGAATCAAAAGTCAAGCTACTGTTGAAATATGTGTGAAATAAAAGTAACAGAAAGTTACACATTTTCAAGTTATATTAAGTTGAGATTGGAATTTTAATTCAAAAGACAGGACAAGATCACATGTTTCAGTCATGAAATTAAACAAATATCAATCATAGTCAGTCACACACATTGTTTGTTGTCTTGTCAACAGATAATAAGCAGCTGCCCCCCCCCCAGGACATTAGGTGTTCCTGACCTGCAGCCGGACAGCTCACACCTCCCATTTGATGAGATCAGAGGTGAGGAACCAATTACCCGGAGATATGTCACAGGGGCCAAGAATATTATTGTCAGCTTGTCACAATGCGAGAAATAAGGGGATTGTGGGGAAGGGGGTGTCAGACAATGGTGACAGATCACAAGGTAACATGTCAGATTGTGTTATCTTTTAATTTACTCCCCAGATCTGATGGAACTGACAGGAGGACCCATGAGCCAGTGCATGGGCCACTGTACTGCAGCATACTATGAGCCTGTTGATCAATGATTCTGTGGCACTTGCTGTTCAGGATGCAGCCTCATGCTCGTGACAGTGTCAGCACAGTTAATGCTAATCCAAGAGATTTCATCCCCTTCGCAACACATTTATTTTTTCTTATAATTATAATATTAATTGTATTACTATGGTAGCCAAACCTGTGAGCCGAGCAGGGCCTTTCTGTGTTAGTTTGCATGTTCTCTCTTTCCCTTTTGACCAAAATGAACCAGGTGCCAGGGCTGATTCAGAGTCAGTTCAACTAGCAAACCTTTAAAGAACCAAAGAGCAATCATTATTTCATATACAGCTGCATACATCGCTCAATTCATCACTGATTTCCCATCAATACTCCTGTCGACTGTAATCAGGGCATCCACAATGGTAGACTACAGCGTCTCTCCTCCATTGTTGCTCCATATTGGCATCTAAACACGTAAGGTCCATTATTAAAATTGTTAAATTTTGTTTGCCGATTACGCTTGACACAAACTCTGTTTTCTTTTTTAAATGGTGGTCACAATATTTTTTATAGTCTTACTGGTCTTGTCAGGTCACGATAATCTCACCTCCAGTCCATGACATAAGCTTTTTTTCTTCTGGACCAGCGAAGTGGTGCCAGAGTTGTACCTGTTTTTCTGTCCGAGAGACGGTTCTATGGCTGTCAAAACATTAAGTGGAAAAGGGGGACCTGTCTCTGCTTGAGTTTTCCTCTACTTCCCACAGTACAAGGATATGAAACTGGGGTTAAAGGTCCAGTGTGTAAGATTTAGGTGAAAGGGACCTATTGGCAGAAATTGAATATAAAATAATCGTTTTTCATAGTTTCCATTAGTGTGTTTCATCTAAACTAATCATTGTTTTCTCTACCCTAGGATGGGCCCCTTATATTTAAATACTTCATATTCACGTCACAAGCGGGTCCTCTTTATGGAGACCGCCATGTTTTTAACAGTAGCCCAAACTGGGCAAACTAAACAGCTTTTAAGTTTTTATGACAACTGAATGTTTCCACAGGTTCTATTTCATGTTTGGAAGTTGTAACGTGCGACTTCACCACTAGATGTCACTAAATTCTATGCACTGAACCTTTAATTGACTCAAAATTGCCTGTAGGCCTACTATATGTGGTAGTTCATCTTCATATGTCACCTCTGTGATGGACATCATTTTCTGTCCTGCTTAAAGCATAAGCAGTTTAGATCATGGATGAATGTAAGGATGGACATTTCTATTGTTAAACTTATATTATTTTTTTCTTTGGCTACCTGCAGGCAACAGAAACATGCTGCAAACACAACGCTAACATATTAACAGTTTTTAAGTTGTCAGTAAAACTATTTGTAGTAGTTGGTTGTTTTTTTGTGCTGTTCAAAGAACACCAATCATATTTAGGAGACACATCCATGAGTGTGTGGAATTTGGTGCAGCGTTATTGAATTGAATGGTTAGGTCTTGGTGGAGGTATGCACTCTATTGAGTGCCTAGTAGTTGCTTATTTATACATCCAGCAAATGCATATCTGAAATTAGTATTGTGGAATATTTCCTGCCACCTGTGCACTGTTTGAGTCCAATATAAGATCTCCTTTCAGCTCTGCTTTGGGTATCCACTAACTCACGTGAAAGGCTCTTCAGCTCTTAAATCCCCAACTATGTTCAGCCGCCAGTTGCCAGCTTTCCATGCAGATAGGATACAGACAGTTGTGTAAAGTTGGTTTTATTATTATATTTAGATCTTACTTGCTGAAAACATCTGCGTCTGCAGGAGAAGATGCTATGACAGCAGTTAAACAAAAAATTGGCTTAATGGTTCTATTTTGGGCCGAGAGGGGCTGTAGAGGCATGTGGTAATATTGTGGTTCCAGTAGCCATTGTCAATATGAAACTATGAATAACTGACAAAACATTGAATAAAGTATTTCAATAAAATAACAAACATTCTAGGTTGTATCAGTTTCTCACTAGTTTCAGTATTCTGAGCTGATGTTCAGCCATTAGGCAGAAAGCAAATCTGTAGTAGAAAAGCCAGAAATACCAATTTCTGTGCTGACAGTAGCTTCAATAGACCATGATGCTGTTCAGACACGATACAGTTTGAGAAGGGGATATGAAGAATTTGATCTCTTGCTCTGACTGTCGCTCTCACTCTACCCACCTACACACAACACCTACGGCTGAAGGCAACAAGTTCACAGGAGGTCGTCAGTAGTCCGGGAAATGTACAAAATCACTAACTGAAGCAGATAAGATGTGTTTAGGAAAGAAAGTAAATTACAACATTTTATCACAAAACAACTTCTGAAATGCACTGAAAATCACAGAATGTTGATGTATAATAGTGTCAGAGGATCTGAACATGGAATTGTTTTTAAACGGGGACGGTTAACGAAAACAGGTTGGCAAGATATGGTTGTCTGTTTTGATAAATCAGTTGCCATGGAGTTGACTAATTCACTTTCCTGCTGAGTCTGACTTACACCCAGTTATACAAAATACACTTAAATATTTGCAAAAATATGATTGCAGTCACGGCTGTGAAAACCCAGAAAGCGTCCCGATGTCAGAAACCTATGGCTAATGCTATACAGCGAGTAAAAGCTATAAAGTCAAGGGTCTGCGTGGCCTTGGTTCGCTCGCTGCTCCCGCAGGCCCCCGTTTTATTGCTGTCGGTGTGTTCAAAATGTGCCTTGCAGTCTGGGAACGAGAGAGGACTTCGCAGCTGTATAACAGAGTGTACAATCAGTGTAAATAGTGATGATCTGCTCAGGTAACCATTTCATTTTCACAGGACATAAACTGATAGCAGCAGCTGAGACTGACAGCAGGATTTATATCCTGACACTGATACATCATCCAGTATCAGCTTTCCTCGAAACGGATCAGACGGATATGTGTCTGCAGCTGTGTAAAATCCACAAGAGGTACACTTGTATTCTTCAGCAGATGATGGCACTCTTTTTTCAAAGGGAGTATAATTTATAGCTCACCTCTTTATGACACATGAGATGAAGCAAAAAAATATGGAGGCGAAGAGATAGGGGTTGCCGGGGACCCGAAGAAACATAGAGCAGAAAAATGCTGAGTCCATTTGTCATGTCACCCAGAGACAGGACAGCCAATCAGTCAGTAATGACCCTCTCCCTTGTCTAAGTAAGTGTGTCATTACAATGATGAAGCTAATGTAACGTCAGAAAGTATTTAGTCTCTTGTCTCGTATTGTTACTGTGTGTCTCTTAATAACAAACTGTGTCTCGACAAGTTGTCTGGATATGAACGGTCAGATGTTGCAGTGGGTGGATCGGCCTTTATTCTTGTGCTTTCTGACACAACCAATTAGCACATAGCTCTAAATTTGAAATACAAGCAAAATTAGCTCCAGTAAAAAGGATCCTTCTTCTCTATTTAAATGTATGCAGGTTTTTGTTTCCTTATACAGCTTATTTGCTTCATTTTTTCAAAACCCAATGCTGTAAAAAACTGGATTATTGGACTGCACTTCGAGAAAACAACAAGAAGCAGCAGCAGCAGAGTTAATGGGATGTAGGATTTTAATTGTAAAAAAAAAATAGCACTGATTAGCGCTGGGGAAACTTGCAACACAGCTGACATAAGATAAGGCTTATCAGTTGTTTTCCTCCTGCAAGTGATACCAAGGTACCACAATCAGTTTCACAATAGGTTCACTGTCTTTTTATACTTGGCAGAATATTTTAGAGCTGAGGCGCACATCTGGATGTCTTATCTCTACAGTCATATCTGCGATTGTTGAGCTAAGATACGAAACCAGTGTCGCTCAACCAGCTCCTGCAATGTTAATGCTAATGAGTTGTTTTTCTTAATTCTATCACAGACTATATGTGAAGTGAAGACGTATGTGGAGCGCTCGCTCGTCCTCGTACTGTGTGTGGGTGTGTTTGTGTNTGTGTGTGTGTGTGTGTGTGTGTGTGTTTGTGTTTAGACATGTTCTTTGGCCAGATAAAGATATGAGTGGGAATTGGTATTTCCCCTACTGCAGCCATTCATTCCAAACAAGTTATACAACATTGTTCAGAGGTCGAGCTGACCCCAATAGTACAACCCCAAATCAGAAAAAGTTGGGACGTTATGTTACATTTGAAATTAAAACTGAGAACAGTGATTTATAAATGATCTTTGACCTGCATTTTATTGTTTTTTTCAAAATAAACCCTTATTTCAATTTTGATTCTTGCAACATATTTCAAAAAAGGTAAAGCATTTACCACTTGTACCACTTTGTAATGTTGCCATTCCTTTTCACAATCACAAGTGATGGAAAGTTTCAGGTGTAATTTTGTCCCATTCTTCCAGCAAACAAGTGTTGGGGTCTCTGTTGTCGCATTTTGAAACGCAAAAACATTCTCTATTGTGGCCAGGTTGGGACTGCACACATGCCAGTCCAGCACCCCCATCCTCTTCTTCCGCAGCCATGCTTTTGTAATGTGTGCAGAATATGGTTTTGCATTGTCTTGTTGAAATATGCATAGATGTCTGTGGAAAAGATGTCGTCTTGAAGGCAGCATTTGTCTGCTCCAAAGTCTCCATGTACTTTTCGGCATTAATGGTGCCATCACAGAAGTGTAAGTTACCTTTGCACTGACACAACCCGATACCATGACAGACCCTGGCTTTTGGACTTGTTGCTGTTAACAGTCAGGACAGTCCTTTTTATCTTTTGTCTACATGGCATCCATTTCATCCATTTCTTCCAAAAATGACCTGAAATACTGACTCGTCTGACAACAATACATGTTTCCACTGTGTGGTTCATCCCAGATGCCTGCAAGTCCAGAGAAGTCGAGGATGCTTCTGGACACGGTTAATACAGGCTTCCTTTTGGCACAGTAAAGTTTTAACTGGCATTTGTGGATGTAACTACGTATTGTAGTGATGGACAAACATTTGCCAAAGTAATCCTCAGCCCATGTGTTTAGATCTCTTATGGATGAATGGCGGTTCTTGATGCAGTGTAGTCTGAGGGATTGGAGAGCACGGTTAGTCACCTTAAGCTTGCGCCCTTGCTCTTTATGCACTGAAATTTCTCCAGATTCTGTGAATCTTTTAATAATGTCATGCACCACAGAGGATGAAATATCCAAATCTTTATTTGAGAATCAATCACTTTTGGCCGATCCTCGGCCCATCTTTGCTCCTCAAGGACTAGGCCTTTCCTGAATGTTGCTTTTGTACAGAATCATGATTACAATCACCTGTTGACATCCCCTATTTCAAATCACTTCATCTTTTAATCATTCTACCTCATTACGAGCCCTAAATTGCCCCCGTCCCAACATTTTTTGAAATGGCATCCATGTATATTTACGTTGAGCTGACAAAACATAAAATATCTATGTTCAAACTGTCTGCAATGAAATACAAGTCAAATTTAAATGTAGCTTATTTATGCTGTCTTTTTTTATTTGTATTTTACATACCGTCCCAACTCTTTCTGAGTTGGGGTTGCCGATGTGCAGGTAGAGACTTACGTCCATCTTTACATACAGACTAGGCTCTCTAATGTCAGTGATATTATTAAATTTAAACCTTCTTAAATCATTGACATAATATATAAACAACTATTTAGCATTTTTAAATGTTACAAAATGCATGAAAAGTAAGAAATGGATACATAGAAATAAAGTTATGGAGCACGAGCAGAGAAAATAGAAGAATAAAATCAAATGAAAACACATTAACAGATAAATGGGATTAGTAAGTGTAAATAAAAGCCAATGTTAATCACTTCGTAAAAGTTTGTATTAAAAGAGAAAAGAGTTTTTAGAAGGGATTTAAAAGAGTAAGAGCACAAAGAATTCAGAAAAGGAATATGCATAATTTTGAGTTGGAGGAACTAAAGCAGAATGAAATTCCATTTTTCCATTCCAAGCTCCTTGTTGCGATTAATATTAACCATAGAGACGGAGAAACCGCATTAATTCAAGTAGTCTTCTGT